TCCCCTCTCCCACTCACTCTCCCAGCCCGCCCTTCATCGAGTTTCATTTTCAATTACCTTCATATACAGAAGATCAACTTAGTATATACTAAGCAAGGCCAATCATTACTTCTGTTCTGCACTTTGGTCAGAGGCTGTGTTGCTTACTCTTCGTGGTAGGACGCACCTCAGCCTCCTGTCAGGGCACAGGAACCCCCACCTTTTAAACAACTGCTAATCAGTCCCATGCGTGGATGGCCCCTCCCGCTGAGATCCTGTTGGCCAGATGTGACTGCACAGCCCAGGTGGGACAGCCCGGCAACCACGGGCGGCTGGGTCCCTCTCCAAGGCTCCTCGTTCTCCGAGGTCCCCTCCAGGCAGGCTCTCAGAACTAAGCCCTCAGTGGCCCCAGGAGTGCCCCTGAACCAGCCCCTGCTCTGAAAACTTTCCGAGGCCGCTGTCTCGGCTGGGCTCCCTCTTGTGCACTGCAGGTGGCCTGGAACAGTAGTCTGGAAAATCCAGGGCTTGGCTGCAGCTGCAAGTTCAGCACACAGTCTCAGGGACCAGGGACCATCCACAGGGACCAGGGACCGTCCACGGGGTCCCACAGTCTCAGGGACCAGGGGCCGTCTACATGGGACCCACAGTCTCAGGGACCAGGGACCGTCCACGGGGACCCACAGTCTCAGGGACCAGGGGCCGTCCACGGGGTCCCACAGTCTCAGGGACCAGGGGCTGTCTACATGGGACCCACAGTCTCAGGGATCAGGGGCCGTCCACGGGGACCCACAGTCTCAGCGACCAGGGACCATCCACAGGGACCCACAGTCTCAGGGATCAGGGCCGTCCACAGGGACCCACAGTCTCAGGGATCAGGGGCTGTCTACATGGGACCCACAGTCTCAGGGATCAGGGGCTGTCTACATGGGACCCACAGTCTCAGGGACCAGGGGCCATCCACGGGGACCCACAGTCTCAGGGACCAGAGGCCGTCCACGGGGACCCACAGTCTCAGCGACCAGGGACCATCCATGGGGACCCACAGTCTCAGGGACCAGGG